CCTCAGGTAGTGTAGATTCAAGTTTGTTAAAACCATGACCCCTTGGGGTAGGGCGGGGCCACAATGGAGGATCAAAGTTTTACATAGAAATATATAGGAAAAATCTTTAAGAATCTTCTCAAGAACAGCAAAGCCATGATGAGTCATATTCATGTGGAAGCATCCTCAGGTAGTGTAGATTCAAATTTGTTAAAACCATAACTCCCGGGGGTAGGGCGGGGCCACAATGGAGGATCAAAGTTTTACATAGGAATATATAGGAAAAAATCTTTAAAAATCTTCTTCTCAAGAACAGCAAAGCCATGATGAATCATATTTATATGGAAGCATCCTCAGGTAGTGTAGATTCAAGTTTGTTCAAATCATGACCCCTGGGTGTAGGGCGGGGCCACAATGGAGGATCAAAGTTTTACATAGAAATATATAGGAAAAATCTTTAAAAATCTTCTCAAGAACAGCAAAGCCATGATGAGTCATATTTATGTGGAAGCATCCTCAGGTAGTGTAGATTCAAGTTTGTTGAAACCATGACCCCCGGGGGTAGGGCGGGGCCACAATGGAGGATCAAAGTTTTACATAGAAATATATAGGAAAAATCTTTAAAAATCTTCTTCTCAAGAACAGCAAAGCCATGATGAGTCATATTTATATGGAAGCATCCTCAGGTAGTGTAGATTCAAGTTTGTTCAAACCATGACCCCCGGGGGTAGGGCGGGGCCACAATGGAGGATCAAAGTTCTACATAGAAATATAAAGGAAAATATCTTCTTCTGAAGAACTGCAAACCATGATTAGTCATTTTGATATGGAAGCATCCTCAGGTAGTGTAGATTCAATTTTGTTCAAATGATGACCCGCAGGGGTAGGGTGGGGCCCAATGGGCAATGGAAAGTTTAACATAAGAACATAAAGAAGAAATATTTCTTCTCAAGAACAGAAAAGCTATGTTTAGTCATATTGATATGGAAGCATCCTCAGGTAGTGTAGATTCAAGTTTGTTCAAATGATGACCCCTGGGATAGGGAGGAGCCACAATTGGGGATCAAATTTTTACAAAGGAATATATGGGAATTTTTTTTTAAAATCTTCTCAAGTACAACAAAGCCATTTGTTACATTGACATGGAAGCATCATCAGGTAGTTTAAAATTCAAGCCCCCCCCCCTCCTCCCCCGGTCTTTTCAATACTGAACTGATTTGTGCTTTTGCCTAGCCAATGTGCTCAGGTGAGCGATGTGGCCCACGGGCCTCTTGTTAAAATGATGACCCCCGGGGATAGGGTCGGGCCACAATGGGGGAAAAAATTTTTACATAAAAATATATAGAAAAAAAATTTCTTCTTTAGAACAGAAAAGCTATGTTTACATATTGATATGGAACCATCCTCAGGTAGTGTAGATTCAAGTTTGTTCAAATGATGACCCCTGGGATAGGGAGGAGCCACAATGGAGGATCAAATTTTTACAAAGCAATATATGGGAATTTTTTTTTCAAATCTTCTCAAGTACAACAAAGCCATTTGTTATATTGACATGGAAGCATCATCAGGTAGTTTAAAATTCAAGACCCCCTCCCCCGTTAATCTTTTCAATACTGAACTGATTTGTGCTTTTGCCAAGCCAATGTGCTCAGGTGAGTGATGTGGCCCATGGGCCTCTTGTTTATTTATACAGTAAAACTTGTCTAGTCTGGATATCACTGCTTCCAGAGAAATTGACCAAAGTAGACAACATTCTTGATAAGAAAACATTTTAATAAATGAAATCTTGATATTTTATTTACCTTTCAATGGTCCCAAACAGCCCTTAATGGTTGAGGAATGTCGGATTAAAAAATTCCCACTCTGATGTCCATATTGGGGATCGTGTGAAAAAAGGTCTTTCAAAGAACATACTCTTGCAGAGAAAATGTAAATAAGAAATACTTAAATTCAGAAGGTTCAAATATCACGTATATTGTCTATAAAGAAGGAAATATGTTTGTAAAAAAATGAGATAATTAAAACTTTGGCGTGTTATTTCAGGACCACATCAACATGGACATTGGAATGCATTTTTTAAACTGATACTCCAAAACCACATACGGCCATTTGGTAAATAAAGTATCAGGAATAGGAGTAAAATATATAGTTAATTATTGGATACCATTCTTAAAGCGGGGGAAAGCGTAAAATACAAGAAATAAAACCTGAAGCGAGCGACAAAAAAGCAGCGGTGTAAATTGAAGGTTTTTACAACGCTTGGATCTGTAGCTCTCTGGTTTATCTGACGTGTCCGAATTTTCTGAACCAGAGAGCTACAGTTCTGCAGCTATGCTTTATGTATGAATGTCCAACATACATGCCAACTTTTGAAAATTTCCTTGGGGGAGATTGCGCGTAACGACATTTTTCAAAGTTCTAAATTCGCGGCATTTTGTCGTGAAAATAAGTATTTGTTGTTTTTTTTTTTTAATATCAGTCTAATACCTTGTATCATATATTATCACTACTTCATAGTGTTTTCTTCTCTATCAACTTCAACAAAAACACAATATTATTTGAAATTTAAAAAAGAAATTTTAATCAAAATTATTTATTATGTTAATATAAAGATAAACATTACCCCCCTGCCATAAGCAATGCAGATATTACATGGATAAGGATGTTAAACTTAATTACAAATAAGCTATTATGCAAGTTACTAAAAGAGTTCATGCAGTTACTGTTTTTGTCTGTTGGTAAATTACACATTTTATAAAGCTACTAAGTCACAGACAATTTATTTGTATTTTTTTAAATCAAAGGGAATACTAAGAAGAAGTCACTTTTAATGTTTTCATACAAAGTCTGTAAAAGGCATGGTACGTCTTCTCCTTTCTAACTTTTTGTGAACCACTCCTGGAATTCTGCTTTAAAAAACTAACGGTTTGTACTTGCAGACCATAGTACCTATGTTGCAGACGCATCTTTTCAAGTTGGATTTTGGCAGTGTCTTTTCCATGATCAATGACGTAGTTCGTAATTATAGTGAGAAATGCTGTATTTCCTAAACTTGAAAACCTTTTATTAACAGCTTATACGTATATTGTCAAATTTTGCTGTAAAGTGTGATCTCGTCATAAGTTTGTATCCTGTCGTGTGTATTTCTAAAATTTCCACATCTGGCATGCTTGTCTAGGTTAATATACACTGTTAATGAGAATCGGGAGCAATTAAAACCACAGTAATGACTGGTTGCACAGTTGACACCTTGTTGATTACCTGTTATCAGCGGCAATAAACATATATCTACCGATAAACATTTGAACTGCCATCTTTTTTCACACGGAAATGCGGTATTATTCAAAGCGGATCGGTAAAAAATCCGGAATTCCTAAAAATCGGTAGAAATGGGATTAAAAAAATAGATCGGTAGACAAGCGGTAGGTAGGGTTAAAAATCGGTAGACTCCCGAAAAAATCGGGAAAGTTGGCATGTATGGTCCAATAATGTTTAATTTTGGTATGTCGTTAAACATGATGTAAGACATATTTTGATATAAAATTGAAAAATGATTATGTTACCTGGAGGCGATGTTAGGCTGGTGGGGGTAGATTTCTCTCTTATGCCATGCATTCAAATTTAATATAGATAGTAAATAAATCTAGTTATTTGTTTCTCAGAGTCCTACACAAAGTTCATGAAGTGTATAGACCCCAGGCAGTGGTGTGTCAGTGTGGAGCTGATGGACTCAGTGGTGACCCTATGGATTCCTTTAATCTCACTCACACAGCGTATGGTCGATGTTTACAATTCCTTCTACAGTGGAAGCTCCCAACACTTGTATTAGGAGGAGGTGAGAATAGAATACGCAGTGCTTACAATGTACACTTTGGCAAAAAAAGCATGTTGATACTTGAACATGGATATCTCGAATACCATGGTTATGTCAAAGTGATTTGGAAGTCCCAATGTTTTATCCTTGCTAAACCTCAGATATCTCGTAAAATTTTCTTGGTTTTACTGTATCTAAAAGGGAGAAATCTGGCTACACTTTGAGAATGCAAACACAAGATTACATACAAAATATCTTGGTATCATTATTCCCACCTATGAAATTGGTGGTGTGTTATACAAGGAAGGTACCCAATAACACTGTCAAATTAAACTCTCAGACAGTGCAATAACCATCTTTATCAACTTTAACATCAGAATGTCAATTTTAACATCAGAAGGGAAATTTTCACATGACTACTGTCCTACAGTTTGTCTAATAACTTTATTAAATGTTTCTCAATCCAGGACAAAGCTTATATATTTAGAATATTCTTTAAATTTCCTTTTTCCGTAATCAAGAATTTGTGAAATTTTGTTATTTTGCGTTGTCTTGTTGAAATGAAAATTGTAAACTCCAAAACATCATTCACGTATGCTAGTTCTCAGTGGGATTAGTAATGTTTTTCAAGTTAAGATGTAAATGTACATGTACAATATATACATGTATTTGGAATGTTTTTAGGAGGTTACCACAATGCTAACACAGCTAGATGTTGGGCCCATCTAACCGCGGTCACTTGTGGACGAAAAATTCCTCCAGAAATCCCAGATCACAAGGTAAGGTGTCACACTGCCAGTATACTAAAACATATTTCAGTTAATATGCTGAATTTTTCTGCATAAATTTATATTGCACCTCTTGAGAAAAAAATATGTAAAAAAAAAAAATTGAAAATTTAAGTTTAAAATTTAAGTTTAAATTTAACCCTTGAAAATTAATAAGGCTCTAATTCCGTCAAAAGTCATTGAAGCGAAACAAAATGCAAACTAGATCTGTAAAACTCAGATACATTCACGTACCAAAACTCAACTCAATCTCTATCGGCATTAAGAAACAAAGTGTGGAATACTGAGTGGGACAGACTGACAGACAGGTGGATTGACAGACAGACAGACAGATGGAGTGACAGACAGACAGACAGACAGGTGGATTGACAGACAGACAGACAGATGGAGTGACAGACAGATGGGTGGATTGACAGACAGACAGATGGAGTGACAGACAGACAGACAGATGGAGTGACAGACAGACAGGTGGATTGACAGACAGACAGACAGACAGATGGAGTAACAGACAGACAGACAGATGGAGTGACAGACAGACAGACAGGTGGATTGACAGACAGACAGGTGGATTGACAGACAGACAGATGGATTGACAGAAGGACAGACAGGCAGACAGATGAACAGAAGAGGAGGAAACCTACAGTCCCCTTAACTTTACTTTGTGTAATGGGTAAGTTTAATGAAAGAACATGAGGACTTTTGACTTGGTAGGATTCACAATTTCTAATACAGTCATCCAAGACGCATATTTATTTCATGTATTTAACCTGTACATATTTTAATTTCAAGGCTTACAGTTCTGCATAACAATCATTTCAGTACTTTATGGCATACGGTCCGGATTATGAATTACTTATCTCCCCTGGAAACAGAAGGAATATGAACAGTAAAGAATCTCTACAGAAAATATACAGCTGTGTTATTGGTAAGTCTATAACAATAAAGATTCTCTACAGAAAATATACAGCTGTGTTATTGGTAAGTCTATAACGGTAAAGATTCTCTACAGAAAATATACAGCTGTGTTATTGGTAAGTCTATAACAGTAAAGATTCTCTACAGAAAATATACAGCTGTGTTGTAGGTAAGTCTATAACGGTAAAGATTCTGTACAGAAAATATACAGCATTATTATTGGTAAGTCTGTTACAGTAAAGATTCTCTAAAGAAGATATACAGTTGTGTTATTGGTAAGTCTATTACAGTGAATATTCTCTACAGAAAATATACAGTTGTGTTATTGGTAAGTCTATAACGGTAAAGATTCTCTGCAGAAAATATAAAGCTGTGTTATAGTTAAGTCTATAGCAGTAAAGATTCTCTACAGAAAATATACAGTTGTGTTATAGATAAGTCTATAACAGTAAAGATTCTCTACAGAAAATATACAGCTGTGTGTTTGGTGAGTCTATAACGATAAAGATTCTCTACAGAAAATATACAATTGTGTTATAGGTAAGTCTATAACAGTTAAGATTCTCTACAGAAAATATACAGCCGTGTTTTTGGTAAGTCTATGACATATTTTAATATATATCTATTTAAATGTATATGTAATGTTATTTTTACTTTAATAATGTGCTATGTCACATTGCATTATTCTTAAAAAAGATAATTACCATGGTTTTTTCCCCTCTCTTTTACAGAAAATCTAAAACAACTTAAAGGCTCCTGATATTGGTGGAGAAACAATTCATTAATGTGATTCTGGAACAAATGTTATATTGTTAATATGAATTTTGTTTGCTAAAACTGGCATTGAATGAATATATGAAGTGATCATCAGAAATATTGCTGACCAAATTTTATTGGAAATTGTCAACAATTAACAAAGGAAGCTGATCTGTGAATGGGCAATATCCATATTAACAATATTGTTGGAATCTTATATTAAATGTATTGTTTTATTTCACGTGTTATTGTTATGTGATGATTTCAGAAAATAAGGTTCATTTGGTCTCCAAGAGTAAGAAACTTAAGTTTATGTGATTAATGATGCAATTGTTCATCAAAAAAATTATCTTCCATATCAATAGGATTTTTTTTTTATCAATTTGTAATAAAAACAGATCTTTGAGTTGGAAATATGTCCATCTTGCATACTTACAAAATTGCTGAGCTATTCCATACAGCTGTGCTGTTATGGAAAAAGAGTATCAAATCCCCGGATGTTTACATCATTTCCTGGTTAGACAAGATGGAGAATAGTACTAATTGGGTAGGCGTTACCTGATTGGCTGAATTCAGTTATGTAAATATTTTCAATTTAAAGTAAAAATATTAAAGTTTGAAATAAATGACGGATAGAGAGAATATTGCTGAAAGTATAGAAATACCAGGGGGAACTAAAGAAGTGGGGTTGATTTTAGATGTAGAGTTTCATTTACTTCCGATCACTGTAAGTTGTAAACTGGAAATTTGACCTTTAATCGCCACCGTACGGTATATTTTTTGTGTGTTTTAATAAGTGCTTAAAATGAAGTTCAAATTATACCAGAGATTTGTTTGAAAGGGAATTAGTAAAGTACTGGGAGGACATAAGGTTTTTATTGAGTTCTATGGGAAATTAATTGGTACTCTTTACACAATACGCTGACCTCATTTATGGGCGCCGCCATGTTTTGATCACGCGACTTGACGCCATGACAACATCATGATCAGGTCATACCCAACGCAACAACTTTTTCTTTTTTCCATTATTTTTTCATTATTTTTGTAAATGAAATATTGCTTTAATACTGATACAAAGACTTGTAAACAGAAAGTTAAAGTTATCTGATTCATATTTTGTTTGTTTTTGGACTTTTTTTTAAATGTATTTTTTTCTTGTTTGTTCATATAAATGTTTGTTGCTTATTCTTGGATCCAATACACAACTGATGTATATATTTTGATAAATATTACACCTTGTTGTTCTTTGAAATAAATTTAAACAACAAACAAAAGTTAAAAGAAATCGTATTTCAAAGATGTCAAAAATTTAAATCAATAACCGATTTATTTTCCGAATAAACATTTAAACTAGAGGTATTGTGAGCATTGAGCTCACAAAATGATACCCCCCGCGTCCCATATGTTTATAATGCAAAATCCATATTTTGCTATGGGAGACCCGAAATAAGTGTCTCTGATAAAAAAAAAAAAATAAGAGGTACACAATGCCCTGCAATGGTACGATGTAATAAAGATTCCGTGAAAGTCTCATTAAATTGCATTCAGTGGTATAAGAGGAGTTGCGGATAAGAGATGGGTACCCCAAAGCGTAAGGGGCGGACCTACAGCTAGACGGACAGATTTATTGTTTTTAATTGTTAAACACTAATTTTAAATACATATATTTTTTGTTTTTGTTTGTTTGTTTTGATATTACACTGCATGTAAATAAGTTATACATGACGTCAAATAAAAAGAATTTGGATAAATAGCACTACGGGCGTATAGGCATTTAAAAATTGTTAAAACATATTATAAGGTTTTTCTCGGCAGGTTTATTTTCTAATGACATACTTTGGCATTCGTTCTTTTGCAAGGTAGTTTTGGACGACAAAGACAACACAGAGTCTGTCATCTCTTTATTCGTACATGTAGAACATAATGTTACTCTTGTCACATTATCGCCACCGTAATGTCGGCCGACGACAACGCCTCCGTGTGGCAAAGAGCGATTACTCTGTAAAACTTGTGAAAAGGAATTGTGTATATTCCAGATGCTACATGTACCGTCTTCCTCTGACTTAAAACTGAATACGATTCATAAAAGGAATTTCTTCGCCATATTCTTTCATTCAGTCGTTATATCAGAGGGTCCATATATAAGCCGTTCACTTAGTCGCTGTTCAATGTAATCAGTTGTCGCCTGTGTAGACGGACTTATGCTACATATATAGCACTCAGTTGCGACAAAAATAACAGTGTACGTCTATGGCAGAAAAGAAAGATGCCAAAGAAACTTACAACAGTTGCACAGGTCAGTGCAATATACAAACACACACAAATACACCTAACTGTAACTGCAATAAAATGTAAACACAGGCAATGTAAGATAACCAGCACTAACATATGTTGCCATTCAACGCCGATACCCATGAAAATAAAGCAGTCAGCTAGGTGTAAAGAATTGAATGCGAAGGGTATACATGTACCTTAGAGCTGATAAAGTAGATATTAAAATCTAATATGGTGTATACCTATTTACAAGTCGCGTATAACTTTAAGACTATATTCCAAGAGTCAGTTTTGGCCTTGACCTTGATCTGTGACCTTGTAATTTGTTTTTAATGTTATTGATTATTGCTATTATTAGCCCACTTGCGCTCGAAGCTCGTGTGAGCTTTTCTGATCACATTCTGTCTGCCATTCATCTCTCTGTGAAAATTATCGATTTCTTGTCAAGAACCACCGGGACAATTTCTACCAAAATTTCCGAAAAGGATCCTTGGATTAAGGGTATTATTTGTTCAAAATAAGGGCCACGCTTTCTTTCAAGGGGAAATAATCAAGAATAAATGAAAATTATTGGCATTTTTAAAATCTTCTCGAGAACCATTAAGCCAAAAATGATAAAACTTATGTAAAGCCTTCATTTTATAGTGTAGATTCAATTTTTTTCAAATCATCACTTTGGGGGTAGCGCAAGTCTGTTCATATCATGACCCCGGAGATAGGGCGGGGCTACTATTATGGGTGATTTTACAAGGGAATATAAAAAAAAAGAATCTGTTAATGAAGAAAAAGAAGAAGGGCCATAATTGCTAAGGTGACATTGTGGCCCATGGGCCTCATGTTAACTTTCAATTAATGAAATAAGAAGCCGATAAATATAAAAATCAGTCAAATTACTTTAAACTAACTTTATTCGCGTGCGAGAAATATCCGCGAGCTTCGCAACCTATTTTAACTCGTGGATATTGATCGCCGCAAACCATTTATTTTGCCTTGTATTTATAGAGAATGTGTCCTAAGTCGCAAAAATTAATTGTCGCTGATTGATTTCAAATCGACGAATCGCGGAATTATAGAAGACACGAATAATAGTTGGTTTACAGTACATTAAATACACGCTAAAATCTCTGAAAAATGATATATGAAGGTTATTAATTAATCGACCCCTCAAGCATAAAAATTAAAATGTTCAAAGACAATGATAAGTGCAGTAATTAAATAAAAAGTGCCCCATCTCTAAGAAATGCTTTGGAATCGGTAGACGCCATAGTGTAGTGTTTGAGATATTTATCAAAGTGACAAGTGTACACATTTTCACAACAATGGCTTTAATGGTCCGACGTACAGATAAGTGAAGATGGTGAAATGAATTTTTAATGAGTTATTTAAATTAAACCAAATAATTTTTATTTAATTTTATGTCATTATAAAAATGCTTATTGTTATTTCTTAACCGAGTGTCTGATTAATTAAAGGTACACTTGTACTATGATTACAAAAGCATGTAGCAAAGGAATGTGTAAACATCTATTAATAACATCTTTAATTGTGGCATTCACAGAGATTATGAGAAAAACATTTGCAACAATTTTATGTTCCAACAATAATTTCGTAAGCTGTAAACGTAGCGGTAAACAACAAAAAAGGCTTTTATGTCTCTTGGTAATACTGCGGTATGTCAGTAGGATAACTGTGCTTAACCTAAAAAAAAAGAAACCGTGTCAAAATCCAGTTGTGATTTACAATATGCACCCCTTTCTTACAAAAAGATATTCTAGGAAAAAAGAGTGTTTTATGTTCGGTAAAATATATTCATATTGTATCTCGGTCACAGAAACTTCCAATGACAATGAAGTATTTACAAGTATTTGATTTTCTTCACTTTACCACTGCGGCACTCATTCACAAGGAGGTTGTCTCTGGAGTCTACGCATAAATCCCATGGACGCTGTAGATCATAGTTATCAATATAACGGAGGAACTGTCCATCCTGATCTAGGATATGGATACGGTTGCTATTGGACTTTTACGAGAAGCACTGACTTTTACAGTCGATGGCTTACTTTGACATTTAAACCTGCCTTATGTACGGAGGCACGGAATTGATAATAGACAAGAAAACCTTAACAGTAGTTATAGGTATGGTGGTAGGGGCACTAACATGATTTACCGGTATGCAATCAATGCAAGAGATGATGAGAGGCAGAATTGCATACCTTAAATTACCTTATTTGTGAGGTTAGTACCTCCTTTCAATCTAATTTTTCTGAAAGAATGAAATAAGGAAGAAAAAAAACATATCGGAAGAAAAACTAAGCAAGAATTGGTCAAAGTGGGAATGGAGGGGGTTGAGGGTAGGGTGGATGCCGATCCCTTCCTAGACAACGTAATATTTGCTTTGAAATGGTCCTTTATCATCGTTTAATTAACTCTTGAGCTTAATGTTTATATCGCAAAAGAGCTTCCGTATAATGCCCTAGTGTAAAAGTAAGTCGTCGATTGTAAAAGTCTGCGCTTCTCGCAAAAGTCCATTACAATCTGCTGTCAGGATCTGACTCAGGCTGTCTGTTGTGATGCCGGCTGGATTAAATGGCTGCTTGGTAGTAGAGAGATGACCAGTGCATCTAAATCTGAGTTTTCCTGCCTGATTAACCACCACTACTGCACAGGCTCTAAAGTCAGCAACACAGATATCCAGGTTCCTGTTCTCACTGATGTATTTAAAGAAAATAGATGTATATAGAGGTTTACTTTCACTATCAAACTCAATAGTTTGTTTCTCTGTAGATTCAGAGTAACGGACAACTTTTGATTGTTTATGATCATCACTGTCCATGATAACCAGGAGGTCACAGGAGGAAGAACTACAAACATTGTAAGGTTTCCACCCCGTAGTCTGATCACTTCCAGTATCTGATCATTCTTCACTACGTTCACCGTTCTTGTACGAGGGTCAGTATAAACT